ATACAGATATGGAAGGATGGGGTAAATATAATTTATATGTGTCAAATAAAAACGAATTAATTCGGGCTCAACATCCTACTTTTCTACAATGACCGGGCATACAACATTCAGCGTGTTATGAGGGAAATTTTGCCTGGAAAGTGGTGTTTCCATCGTGTTCTTGTATATGATGGGGTTCCATCCGAATGAAAAGACACTGTTCTTTGCCAGGCCTTCTGGTTCTACACCACTGACAAATGGAAACCGCACTATATATTCTTCAGTTTGATATATGGACCTAAAAATTGGCTGCCATTTGTATATCTTGGTACACCTTGATTGATCTGTCCCTAGTTGTAAATATACTTCCTAATGAAATGAAATGAAATGAAATGGGGTTTAACGTCCTACTGTTGACTAATGAAGATGGGCATATGCCATACAGTGTGCTTTGAGGGAAATTTTGCCCAGACAGCAGCACCATGGCCTACTCTTATATCGAATTCCAACTTTCAAGGGATCTTTTACGTGCACGCCAAAATCTACACAGGACCTCAGTTTTTTGTCCCATCCAAATGACTAGACAGCTGTCCTTGTCAGGCCCTCTGTCCTGCATCACAGACAAGGGGAAATCAGAGCAGAACAGTTGGAAGTTAAACCCCATTTCATTTCATTTCATTTCATTTCATTTCTTATGTTAAATACAGCATTTCGACGAAGCTGAATTTGAGTATGATGTTGTCACATAATATGTATGATTGAACCCAACTGCATTAGTTTCTTTTGCAATTTGTTTGGGTTAAAACATTTTCCCTCCCCGCCTATATATATATATATATATATATATGACTTAGATATGCTACAAATCGACTCTAGTATGATCCACACAGCCCAAACTTTCCCAGAGAGACCTCTACAAGGCACCACATACTACCCCGCCACTGCCACTGCTACTTTGACGGTAAGAAATCAAAAGACAAGTTATGATATAGCATGTATATTGTAGTTGCCCCTGTCTGTCCATCCAGATGTCCGTCCGTCCAGATATCCGTCCGTCCGTCCACAATTTGTTTGTGGACACTCTACAGGTCCCAGTTCTTATCCGATTTTAACGACGCTTAAAATATAGGTCTATCTCCCAAAGATCTCTGTTCCTGTCGATATTGGCACATATCAGACCATAACGACATGGATTATGGCCCCTGATTGGACAAAAAATCACGTTTTTTGCTTGTGGACACTCTAGAAGTCACAATTGTCATCTGATTTCGATGATACTTGAAATACATGTACATGTTTTGTAACCGAAAGATCTTGGTTCCTTTCGATATTCACGCATATCGGATCGTAACTTCCTGAATTATGGCCCTTTATTGTACAAAAAATCGCTTTTTCTTTAGCTTGTTCTCTATCTATCTATTACAAAATGTACACTTGTTTTGAGTTGTTATCTGTCCTTCTCTTGCAAAATGTGGAAGTATCTTGAATGGCAACTACATGTAATGGATTTCTTTCAAATTTGGTAGGAAGCATTGTGGTCTTGAGAGGATTAAGAAGGCCCATTTGTGCCAGACAAAAATAATTTTTTGTTAAAATTTGGTCAGAAGCATTGGGATCATGAAAAGACTTATGAAAGCGATAAACCCTGTAGTTTGTAATTGATCTTTTTCATATCTGGCTTGCAGCATATTGATATTCATAATCTGCAGCCTTCAGATCTTGAGTTATCCCCCCCCCCCAACCCCCCCGTTGTTAAAAACCTTGTGCTTGTATTTAGGCTAAAGGTTTCAACGTATATTTTTTCAAATCAAATTTTCTCAACATCCAAGTTTTGCTTTCGGATAAGCTGCAGTTGAGACAAAAAAGCTGCTGTAGTGGGCATACTCTACGCTTTGTGGGACTATATTTTGTTATATGGTACATAGATCCACTCAGTAATACAATAACAACATTTATAAATGTTACAGGCTATAATTTGGGATGAAGCTAATCCAGATGGGAACACCACAAAATACCATTTCAAGAAAACCAGCAATGAAATAGAATTAGTAATCTCAATGGTAGAACATGAAGATACTGGTCTATATAAGTGTGTGATAAAAAAGGGAAATAAAGTCAACTCCTGTCCAAACAGAGATATCAAACTTGACATTTATAGTAAGAGGATTTTTGTACGCCCACCTTTTTTATTTGGATGTATATTGTCGTCGCCCTGTTCGTCCGATTTGTTTGTGGACATTCTCAGGTCACAATTCTTATCAGATTTTAACGACACTTGAAATGTAGGTTTATCTCAAAAAGATCTTGGTTTCTGTTGATATTGGCATGTATCACATTTATAGCTTGAGGACACTCTCGAGGTCACAATTTTTATCCAATTTAGATGAAACTTGAAATGTAGGTTTATAACCCCTAGATCTCGATGTTTGTGCATATAAGACCACAACTTTCTGGATTGTACGAAAAATCGCATTTTTATCTTCTTTGTTTGATTTTTAAAAATGTTTCAATATATCACCAGGTTTATTTCCAAAAGATTTCAGCTCCTTTCGATATTCGCGCATATCAGACCATAAATTACTGAATGTATAAAAAATCGTGTTTTTGCTTGAGGTCACAATTTTTATTTGATTTAAAAAAAAAAAGGGTTTAAATTTATCACTGTTACACCATAATGACAGCTGAGTTTGAATTTCATATCAATTGGACCGAAAGTGCTAGACAACATAGCTGCAAATAGATTGTGCTGTAGAGACGACATTTTTTATCCGATTTTAATGAAACTTAAAATATATGCTTATATCCTAAAAACCTGGGTTCCTTATGATACTTCCATGTAGTGGATCATAACTTCCTGGATTATAGCCCCTGATTTTACGTAAAATTGATTTTTTTAGGTTGTTCTCTGTCCATCTCCTGGCATCTGCTGGTTTTTAATGCTTTAAGATTTTAAAGTTTAATACAAGAATTTTTTGTTTCAGAATTTTACTCATTAATGTTTATCAAAATGAAATGGGGTTTAACGCCTAATGTTCTGCTACTTGTGCTTTGAGGGAAATTAGTGCTACTACCTACTCCTATATCAAATTCAAACTTTTATGTGCAATCTAATGTGCACACAGGACTTTGTTTTTCTGTTCCTTCCGAATTTTTATATGTTGTCCTTTGCCATACCTGCAAGCGGTGGGGGCGGGTCATGCCGAAAAACCCTGATGAACTTTCTTACGCAGCACAGGGATTTTAATAAGTTAGAAAATTATGTTTATTTAGAAGATTTTAACTTGGTTAGTGAGTCTTTTGTTTTAAAGCTAATTAAATTGTCTGCTCCTAAATCTTGTTCATTACATCCTATTCCGACTCCTGTTCTTAAGGACAGTCTAGACGAAGTTTTCCAGTTTTTACCAATATATTATTAATTCTTGTATATCATTTTATACTATTCCCAATGTTTCCAAACAAGCTTATGTTACCACTTTAATTAAATAGTCTACACTGGATCCTAATGTTTTTTAAAAATTAGAGACCTGTTTCTAACTTATGTTTTATTCCTAGAATATTGGAGAAATGTATTGCTTCTCAGATAAAGGCCCATGATAACTGCTTGTATGAACCATTTCAAAGTGCTTATAACCAATTTCATAGTACCGAAGCAGCTTTAACCCCAGATTTCAAATGATATCTTGATGGAAATTGATAATAGCGAATGTACATTTTTTATACGCCCACATTTTCATGTAGACGTATATTGTCGTCGCCCCTGTCCGTCCGTCTGTCCACAATTGTTTGTGTACAGTCTACAGGTCACAATGTTTATCCGATTTCAATGAAACTTGAAATATAGGTTTATCACCCTAAGATCTTGGTTCCTGTCGAAATTGGCATGTATCAGACTGTAACTTCATGGATTATGGCCCCTGATTGTACGAAAAATCACGTTTTTAGCTTGTGAACACTGTAGAGGTCACAATTTTTATCTGATTTGGTTTAAACTTGAAATGCATGCTTATAACCCAAAGATCTCGGTTCCTTTCAATATTCGCGCATATCGGAACGTAACTTTCTGAATTATGGCCCCTGATTGTACGAAAAATCACGTTTTTAGCTTGTTGACCATATAGAGGTCATAATTTTTATCCGATTTAAAAAACCGTATTATTATATCACCGTTACACCCTAAGGACGATTGAGTTCGAATTTCGTGAAAATCGGCCCAAAACTGACAGACACCGTTCGTTCTCAAATAGCGTAAAAATATGGTATATATAAAGGTTGTGGACCCTTTAAAGCTTATAGATAAATTACAAAAAGTACAGAATACTGCGGCTAGACTTGTTACTTTAACTAAGAAATGTGAGCACATAACTCCTGTTTTATATAATTTGCACTGGTTATCTGTTAAATATCGGAGTGATTTTAAGATTTTATTACTTTTAAATGTTCATATAATTTAGCTCCTGTTTACCTCTCCGATCTTTTAGAACTTTATACACCTGGCCGAACATTACGCACATCAGATAAACTACTTTTAAAGCCCAAAACTGTTCAACTAGTCTCTTATGGTCAGCGCTCTTTTAGTTATCAAGCACCTGTTTTATGGAATAATCTACCATTTAGTTTAAGATGTTGTACATCTCTATATTCTTTTAAAAAAACAACTTAAAACACATTTATTTAATCTGACTTTTAACTGACTCTGTATACAATCGTTAACATGTCCATAATCTTGTTGTTTATTTATGATTAAATTGTCACTTTGTGAAGTGCCCCTGAACATGTTATATGAAAGGGCACACTATAAATATGCTGTAATAATAATAATCTCCAGCTAAGCAGGTCAATGCATTACCCACTAAGTCACTGTGGCTCTCTAATGTTCATCGCATGTTTTAAATATAAGTTTTCATGACAAACCACCTTGTTGAGACCATTTATCAAAGTGATATAAAAAAAATTTTGCCTGGCATAAACAGTTGGATAGAGACAGTATTAGTCTGGACAGGTTTTCAACATTTGAGAAAAATTGGCTAGATAATCCGGTCTTTCACATTATCATAAACAATGTCTAAGGGAGGTAACTCCTCTTAAAACAAGATGTTTACGCCCATGAAATTAATTTAAGAATGTCATTTCAAAAAATCCATTTGATTGCATGCGAGTTCAATATCTAACACTCTTAATTTTTTATTGTAAAATTTCTCTCTTCATGGGCCATATCTATGCTTTTAAAATTAATCCTAATTCGTCGTCTCGATTCATGTTTGTTTATATTAATGCAAGAATTATGGGATTTATTGTGGGAAGGGGCGCAACTCTTACTTGACTTGGCTAAAGAGACTGGATAATCAACCACATTAAAAACCAAACTCCCGGTTACGCATGGGAAATGGACTTTACATCAAATATTGACAACCTTCCCAGACCCTCCGTATGATATAAGTTATTATTGAAACTTGGTAGTTCAACGCGAAATAGAATGGGGTCGAATGTCTTACGTTACCGTACCAACCAGGCTAATGATGTCAAGCATTCGCCTTGCTGTGTACAATGTTACTATTATTGTCTGTTTTATGTGGGGGGAGGGGGGTGGATGGCTGAATGGTTAGCACATGTGCGCTGTATCATAAAGTCTGTCATTGAGTCAACTGGGGTGGTTTCGAATCACCGGTTGTACGTGACAAGGAGTAGGGTTGCCTGTCCAACCTCGTGGGTTTTCTCCGGGTCCTCTGGTTTCCTCCCACTACTAAAGACCCCTACATGCAGAATTATGGAAATAAAATTAAACCATGTTAGTCCTGAAATGACTTAAAATTAGTTTGTGTCTGTTTTATGTTATGAATAATAACAAATTGTCTGCCCTGTATTTATGATGTCTATTCCCTACTGCATGTTCTATTTAGACGTTTTATTGGAAGAATTATTTGATCATTAATTGTTTGTCTCACTTTGTTTCAGCTATTCGTTTTCTGAATGCCCCGAACAAAACTTTATATGTTGATAATGGTACTTTATATCTAGAATGGGTGTTCGAAATATATCTTGCCCTTAATCTGAGTGAAATAAGTGTTTATCTGACATACCCTGATGGAAAGGTGGGTTAAATATATTATTTATTTGTTTTATTAAACATACATTATGCAAGAGCTAAATCTGCCTATTGCAGGTCTTTCTTTAGGCCTGAAATGTTATCTATATTTTTGATTAGACATTAATTAACTTATCCAGGCCATAATCAACTCTCGATGGCATCAGATTTCTCCAATATTAAAGTAGCTAAGTCTCTAAACTCAATATCATCCAAAGTCTTACACGTTGAAAACACGAATTATTTGTCAATTCAAATCAAAATTGATGTTGCGATCTTACCGGGAAAAGGTAGGCTTCTTATATCCAAATTTTTAAGACAAAATAAACATTTTACCATTGGTACACGAATCGTGTACCATAGTGCGTTTCAGCATCCTTTGTAACAAGTGATCAGAAAGAACGAGGCTAGACATATTCCACAACTCATGTCAAAGGGTGACGCCATAACTTACCTGGAGAGCATGCGCAATAGACTGGAATAACCAGACGCTAGAAATTTCCATTCGGTTGAGACTCTTGCTGTATTTCACTGGACATAACTGATTTGAAATTTAGAATCAAAACAGAAACTATTGAATGTAAATCAGTTCATATACAATCAGATTACATTATTATATCCGTTGCGATCCATTTGGGTCAATTTCTAGGTCCCAAATATTAGCGATTTAGCTCCTTTAAATAGATTAGAACAGTTCAGCCATATTTTGATTTAAGCTAAAACTAACAATGGAGGAGCGAGACTCATAGGCGTACGGGAAAATTTTTGACTTTGGGGGAGGTTGTGGTTGGTGCCCAAAAAATGTATTTAGGTTCTTAGTATGTTACATAATGATAATAAATTCGCTGTTAAATTGGACAATATTTTTTTTATACAACTTTTACAAAGTACAATTGTGTGCCCAAATTTTCCCAGCATTTGGTGCCCAAAATGGGGGGGGCGGCCGCCCCCCCAGCCCCCCAGCTCGTACGCCTATGGCGAGACTTACCTTCGAACAACTAGTACAGTCTTTGAATTTATTGCACACGTCTCGTCAAACCTTCAAAGACTAATATCTTCGCTCACAATAGAGTAATTTGGATGAAATTTTCAAATTAACCATTTTACACTATCTATATATTTTCGAACTTTTATAGCAAGAATGGCTGGCTCTTTATCTAAATCTTTATCTAAATCTTACATAATGTATCTTCAAGTCCTACATCAATTATTTGTAGAGTTGTTGCCCTTAATTTACATGATAACTTTACATGATTGCTATGCAGTTCATAATCATTTAAGGTCTGTCATTGAGTCAAGCGGCATTATTTCGATCCCACACTTGCATGTGACAAGGAATAGTGTTGTCTGGCTAACCGTAGTGTTTTTTTCCGGGCCCTCCCAGTTTCCTCCATCTGCTAAAGACCCCTATGAACCCTGTTGAATTCCTGACAAGGATGACAACTTTGCAATATTTCCTAACCACGTTATTCTATTCCAACATTGGTTGCTTGTCTGCGACTGACATCAATTGACCCATTGCCTGGACCTCAATAATGTCTGGACCGTGATATTGCACGTATGACCTTAGAAATAAAAGAATTTAAAGCATTTTATTGTCCTGAAATACTGAGTACAGGTAGGTCTCTAATCCATTATCCAATGAGTTCAAGGGGAGTAGAATGGTTTAACTTGTCTGCCTTATATTATAAGATCTGTCCCAGCTTCATGTGACAAGGAGTAGTGCCCTTTGAATGATCGCCGATTTCTAAGGACACCTTCAAGAAATATTTTAATAATACTGTTGTCACCATGAGTCGAATTTTCAATATCTTTTTGTGTTTCTAGCGAAGAGGTCTTTATTCATACAGTGAGGAAAATGTAATGAAATCTAATACAGACTGTGAAATAAAAAAACATTTTAGTGAAGACAACAAAACAAAAGTAATAACATTATCCTGTACCTTGAATAATTCTACCATAGAAAAGTTACAGAGATGCCCTTTCATTACCTTAGAGATAGACTTTGGTCGTAACTATTTTACGTCACATCAGATCACAGGTAAACAATGAAATGAAATGGGGGTTAACATCCAACTGTTCTGCACTGACTGGGTTACTAAAGACAGGCATACATTGTGCCGTGGAGGAAATTTGGCGTGGACAAGCGGCACTACGGTCACCTCTTATATAGAATTCCAACTGACAAGGCTTCTTTTACCAATGTGTACACAGTACCTCGGACAGCAGTACCACAGTCCCTCGCCTGTACCTCTGACCAGGGGGAACTTTCTAGGCCAACACCGGGATCGAACACGGAACCTCCAGGCACAGGCACTTGAAGGGGTTAAAATAAAACTTCTTAATGAAATGAAATGAAATGAAATGGGGTTTAACGTCCTACTGTTCTGCTCCGAACTGGGCTAATGAAGACGGGCATACGCCATACAGTGTGCTATGAGGGGAAATTTGCCCGAACAGCAGCACTACTCTTATATCGAATTCTTACTGTCAAGGGATCTTTTACATGCACGCCAATGTGTACACGGGACCTCGGTTTTTCGTCCCATCCGAACGACTAGACAGCTGTCCTTGTCAGGCCCTCCATCCTGCATCACTGAAAAGGGGGAACCACGCCAGAAAATCTCGATGCAGGGATCGAACACCCGACCTCCAGGCTAGCGAGCCAGCGTCGTACCACTTAGCCACGTGATCCCCAAAACTTCTTAATACTGCTTGACTATATATTACAATATTAACAAAGTATATCACCTGCCATATTGTTTACTTGTTGACGACATTTTGTCTGCTATCATCTCACAATACTCATTAGTTTTAAGACTTCCCATCGTTTTTATTGACAAATGATAATCATATTTACGTGAGCTCTTTATTTTCAGATTTAACAGATCAATGTTCAGAAGATAATATCACTATGGTAACAGATTATAATAACACGGTGACAACAGCTGATAATGTATCTACAGCAACCAACAATGGTAAGTTTTAAATATTAAACTTAATAATTTATTTCCAGCTTCTGTAGCCCCATTCCCATTATACTCAGTAGCATCGTTCCATTCTGCTTGACTAATCCCTGGTTTCATTCACAGGGTCGTCACAAATTCAGATTATCTTCCCTTGATAATTGTGCTATTTTTATTGACAAATCAAAACTCTATAAATAAAAAGGAAGTGTAAACAAAGAGGGAGAGGATGTTTCGGAACTAAATTTTATCGTCAAGTTATCCAATATTGCTCCTGTCCACTGGAGACTTCTACTGCGCACCGACCCTAGACGACAATATAAAGGGAACAGCCGCACAAACTGTCTGGGATATCACTTCACACACATACTGACTTAAGCCTGAATAGTTCACATAAGAACGAAAATAGTAGCTTCTGGAACGGCTACCTGACACTTATAGATTTCCAATTTTAGAAAGGAAGTCAACAAAAGGAAGTAAATGAAATCTTGTTGCAACAAAGATGGAAGTAAACACTCTGAGTTATTGAATTTCTTGCAAAGTTTATGATAAATGAGCGCACAAGCTGTAAACAATGATGCTAAGTTTTTTTTATTGGTTCATAGCATCAACACACATGGCCAATGAAATCATCAAGGGCAATTTGAATTCATGACGACCAGAATAATGACATTATATACCGAGGTTGCTGCAACCCATCCATGGCAATATTGACTATCAATTCTTCAAGCTAAACATTTTTAGGGATATTTCAGAATGTCATATTTATAATTTCTGTCATATGAGGAATTCTTAATTCCTTTCAAATTACAATATTGAATGAATATCGGTCTAAAATGATTCAATTCAATTCAGTATTTACAATGATGTGATATCTGATGATTTGCAAACATTCTGCACCCACTGTAGACGATAATATCAGGGTTTTACAATATGGTATATTAGACTAGGTTATCTAGTACCCAAACAGTAATATCAAGGTTTTACAACATGGTATATTAGACTAGATTACCTAGTAACCAAACAGTAATATCAAGGTTTTACAATATAGTATATTAGACTAGATTACCTAGTACCCAAACAGTAATATCAAGGTTTTACAATATAGTATATTAGACTAGATTACCTAGTACCCAAACAGTAATATCAGGGTTTTACAATATAGTATATTAGACTAGATTATCTAGTATCCAAACAGTAATATCAATGATTTGATGTCGAGACGTCAAGACAAAGAGTCAGTGTTAGGTTGTTTTTTTCATTGCCTGGTAATGATTTATTTATATTTTATAGATAATAAAACCATTGTAAATAATGTATCAAATAATAAAGATACTGCAGCCATAGTAGGCTCTATTGTTGGTGTTCTTCTCATTGCGATTGCAGTTGCCTGTTTTGTACTCTTAAAGAAAAAAGGTGAGTTTTACAAGTTATGCTATTAGAATTATTTGGAATGGTACAGCCATTTTGTTTACACTCGCACTGAAATGTGGTCATGTATTGTAGTCACGGTGACTCAGGGAGTAAGGCATTGGCTCCAGGATTCCATCTTGGTGTTGCCCAAGAAAGTTCTTAGGTATTTTCCTGCTTTTTCCTTTATCAGCGGTACAGGACAAAGAGTCAGGCTAAGAATAGTGTCTAGTTGTCCAGATGGGATGAAAAAGATACATGTTGGCATGAACATAAAAGAACCCTTGACAGTTGGAATTCATTATCCCAGTTGGTACATAAAAATAGGACATTACACCTGTTTTATTCATGAGATGAAAAAAACATATTGGTCATCAATATCCCAAAATGACCTAGTATGTGTTACGTGGACAACTCTCTCTCTCTCTCTCTAAGGGATTTATTGCTAATAATTTCAGATTAAGTATGTGATGGGGTCAGTGAAGCTGACAATCCATCCTCCATGTTTTAGTCTATTCAATTACTCTGCTGCTGTATGATAAAAATATTGTTATAAATTATTTTAATTACAGGGACAAGTAATGGTGGTGTGCAGAATAATGAGGATTCAGAATCACCTTTTCTTTCATGATTAACAGTGTATTTAGAATATATGTTTTTATTTTATGATCAGTAGTGGAATACCGCGTTTTATCAGTGAAATAAAAGTGTTATTTCACTGGCTAGTTGTTTTTACCTAAAATGATTGTAAAATCATAAAATAAATAGAACATTTGTCGTTTTGTCGTGAATAACATATTTTATTTCATCTCTAAGCAAGAAAACGTTTATATTTTCACTCATGCTACGCATTCGTGAAAATATAAGTTTTCTTGCTTCTCGATGAAATAAAATATGTTATTCACTCTAAAACGACAAATATCCTCTATATATTAGTTTATATTAGTTTTATTCACCATATTGGATTGCAAGATGTCAATCACATGATAGACATTCACCTGTATCAGAAAGCCAAAGCTTGTCATTTTTGGGGTCCATGTTTGATTGGTCGAGAATTTGGAACATAAAAACTCTCCTAATTGAGTTAGAATATTCAAACTTGGTGTAGGTGTTTATTACTTGGGCGTAGCTGTCTATTAGGTGAAAGCCTTGATGGAGTTCGATGATGAGAATTTTCTACTTAGGGTAAGCAGAGATAAGCAATTTGATTGATTGATGCTTTGGGATACGATAACTTTAGTTTTAATGTAAGTGAGAGTGAGGACGTATAGCTTTTTTTACATCACATTTAATGTGAGAGTAGATTATGTGTCTTCTGACCCTAGCTTGCCAAAAATAGCGGATCAAACGCTGATTATCTATTTTATTACTTTTTTTTCTTCTGATTATCGACAACAGTCTCAATGATTATTAGCCTGCAAAGTCAATTCCAGCCATCATAATGTATATTTAAGAGACATTTATTTCTACTGGCGGTTTACAAATATTGAATTGATTCACAAATTCAAATCATATACGCGACTAATACACAGTATCATATTGATTATATTTTGATCTATAATTGCCTGAAAGAGACGAGGTTGGGTTTTTTTTTATCACTTTATTAAATAAATATTTACATAATCTAAAGATACAATATATAATCATGTGATCTGAAAATAGGTCGACCTGGGCGCCTCTTACAACTCAAAGCAACTTCACCTTCACTCCCGCTAAACCCGTCTATAAAATCGGACAATCAATAATCATAATGTCAACAAAGTTCTCCAATACAACTTGTAAATTTAATAGTTCAAGCTCGAAATAGATGACTTATTTCTTTATAGTGCGGAGCCATATTTGCATAGGTGTGAGTTGGTATGGAAGTGGTGTAAGAGAGCCCCAAAAGATATTTTGATCACACTGACACAAAATGTGGCAGTCAGGCAGGTTTTTTTCGACAAAATGCCTTCATATCAAGGGAGATTACAAGGAATACAACAAGGCCACTGTTTCTATAGGTGCAAGTCTAATAAAATCATTCATTTTACATAACGACTTACTTAAAACATACTCAAAACATGCCTGGCTTCTGTCTTAATAATGATCATGGATAGTGTATAGCTAAGATTAAGAATGAAAAAACATATTTTGAAATAAAGGATAAGATCTGTTAAAAAGTTGTAGAAATATTACGAATAAATGCTTAAATAATTGTCTGAATTGTCAGGGAATAGCCGAGATGGAAGAAATAAAATTTGGCATCTACAATATATAAGCTTACAATAGATATAGGAATTCAAATAACACTTGACTGTAATTAAAAGCAGTCAAATTTCATTCTTCTATAGAAAAATGGGATTTGTTTACAATTGCGAATGAACCAGATGGAGTCCCCCCCCCCTCCGATATGGTGCTCACCTATGACATAGTGACAAGAAATCATTGATAAAAGTGCCAAACACACTTTCAATGGCCCAGTCTTGCTTCTGATTAATAAACTGCAGTAATATAAATATTCTGATTTCTTGAAACAATTATAACAGGTACTATACATGTAGTCGATCAATTAACTCCCTGGACAAATATATACTGGCTCCAGTAGATTGCAAAAGTCTAAGGTTAGGATTTTCCAGATGTGACTTTGATTTGAAAAATATTTTTGATCCCCCAGGATAAATAAATTAGAATTTAAAGAAGGATTTAGACTAAGATACTAATACATTTAGTAGTTGGAATAAGGCTATTTGTTTCACCCGACTTAATAAAACAGCAAAAGTGTTATTGGTGCAATGTTATTTGTATTTCGCACTGGACTATATTGTGTCTATTTAGTAGGGATTAGGACATAAGGCCCTTAACCAAAACGGCTGAAGTATTTGGTCATAACAGTCAAACATTTTGTTCATAACTACATAATGGCCAAAATATTTGGGTCGAAATGACCAAAAAACAACATTTGATATATTATGTATCCAATGATATTTATTAATATAAATATAGCATAATATAAATACATGTACCAACATTTCGTAATAGATAATATTTACATATACATTTATTTAATACATAAATTTAAATACACTGTAGACATTAATACTTAATACACTGTAAGGCACTGGCTCGCAAGCCTGGAGGTTGCATGTTCGATCCCTGCATTAGCTGGTTTGGGTGGCTTTCAATAAATCGAGCCGTTTCTCTGTGGCAATTAAAGATGACATGGCAGTACTTCCCAAAACGGGTATCCCGCCTCGACCCCCTCCCCTGCACATGACATTCCAAAGATCATTTGTGAAGGAGGGGGAGGCAGTTCTATCAGGCAATCTTGACAATATACTACACACCCTCCAACTCTCCACGAAGGATCTGGCGATACATCTCTCGACTCATTACCCTATTGCAAATACGATGTTGCCAGCAGTCACAGCCATCGCATAGCATTGCAATGCCTCTTGTCGGGGACGCACATCCTTTGAACAAACCACACAAACACATAATAAATATTAAGATTTCAAACAGAACTTATGATATATATATCAGTAAGAACTAATGAAGGTAATGAATGTTAAATTTTACGGTCAATATATACCCAAATCTCATGACAGCTAATAATCTTTGACCTCTAGAGCGTCCACAAGATTTTTCAAAGTGATCAAGGGCCATAACTCTGGCAGTAATTTTTCAAACTGATCAAGGGCAATACCTCAATAGGCTTCTTCGTCTCATGACCTTTAACACTGTGTATAAATTTAAAGTCAATCGGATATTAACTTGGCCTCTAGAGCGTCTACAAGATTTTTTGAAGTGATCAAGGGCCATAACTCTGGCAGTAATTATCGGTAATCGCTGAAAATAAATAGGGTTCTTCGTCTCGTGACCTTAAACACTTTGTATAAATTTAAAGTCGATCGGATATTAACTTTAGCCTCTAGAGCGTCAACAAGATTTTTCAAAGTGATGAAGGCCATAACTCTGGCAGTAATTATCAGAAATCGCTGAAAATCAATTTAAAGTCAATCGGATATTAACTTTAGCCTCTAGACAGACAGACGGACGGACGGACGGGGGCGATGACAATATACGACCACATTTCAATGTGGGCGTATAAAAACAACATAAGTATACTTTATTACAAAATTATCCGTAATACTAATAATAATAAATAATAAAAATTAAAAAAAATCATAACGGAAATTAACAAACAATACAATCTGATTAAAATACAGATGTATATTTTGATTCGTTTTTTTATACTTTCGATAGACTATACTACATGAAGATCTGACCGGTTGTACTGGATTTTTTATACAATCAGGGGTAATAATCCAGAAGGTTATGGTCTGAAATGCACAAATATCAAAAGGGACTGAGATCTTTGGGATATAAAGATATGTTTTAAGCTTCATCAGAATCGGATAAAAATTGTGACCTTTATTATGGTGGAATGGTGAAATATTTAAACGGTTTTTAAAATCAGAAAAAAAGCTAAAAATGCCATTTTTCGAACAATCAGGGGCCATAATCCAGAAAGTTATGGTCTGAAATGCACAAATATCAAAAGGGACTGAGATCTTTGCGATATAAAGATATGATTTAAGTTTCATCAGAATCGGACAAAAATTGTGACCTCTAGAGGGTCGACAACCTTCGTAATGCATACTTTTACACAATTTGCGTACAAAGAGCGGCCATTTTGTTGGGCAGTTTCATTTTGATTTTCCCGAAATTCGAATTCAACCTTCATTATGGTGGAATGGTGAAATATTTAAAATATAGAGAATCCGCAAGCTAAAAATGCCATTTTTCGAACAATCAGGGGCCATAATCCAGGAAGTTAAGTTCCGGTATCCGCGATTATCAAAAGGATCCATGATCTTAGTCTGTAATGGTGATATATTCACACATTTGTTTAAAATCAGATAAAAATTGTGACCTCTACAAAACCACAAGCTAAAAATGCGATTTTTCATACAAAGATCTTTGGGTTATTAACTTACATTTCAAGTTTCATCAAAATCAAATGACCTCTAGAGCGTCCACAACCTTGATATACAATATTTTTACACTATTTGAGTACGAGGGGCGGCCATTTTGTCTGTCAGTTTTGGTCCGATATATACAAACTTCGAACTCAACCTTCCTTAGGGTTTAATGGTGATATATTCGAACATTTTTTTAAATCGGATAAAAATTATGACCTCTATAGGATCGACAAGCTAAAAACGCGATTTTTCGTACAATCAGGAGCCATAATTTAGGAATTACAGTCCGATATGCGCGAATATCGAAAGGAACCGAGATCTGTGGGTTATAAACTTATATTTCAAGTTTCATCAAAATAGGATTAAAATTGTGACCTCTATAGGGTCACAAACTAAAAACGTGATTTTTATTACAATCAGGGGTCATAATTCAGAAAATTACCGCCCAATATGCACAAACATCGAAAGGAACCGAGATCTTTGGGTTATAAACTTACTTTTCAAGTTTCATCAAAATAGGATTAAAATTGTGACCTGTATTGTTAGGGTCTACAAGCTAAAAACATGATTTTTCGTACAAACAGGGGCCATAATCCATGAAGTTTCGATCCGATACATGCCAATATCGAAAGCAACTGAGGTCTTTTGGAGATAAACCTATATTTCAAGTTTCGTCAAAATCGGATAAGAATTGTGACCTGTAGAGTGTACATAAACAAATTGTGGACGGACGGACGTCCGGACGTCCACATGAAAA